AAACCCGATGATGCTAAGCAGGAAAGAAAATAAAGAAAACTTGGAGAGCAGCTTTATAAAAGGATGAGAGAAGGGAGAGAGAAGTTTGGGATGACTCCTAAATTTGGCTAAGGCAGTCGAAAGAATGAATCATGGCACCATTAAATGGGTTAGAGAAAATGGGAGGAGGACCAAGGCTGGGAGGAAGGTTTATTGGGCGCAGCTGGTATTATGGAATGGAGGCCTTACTGCAGAACTGAGAATCTTGTGGAACCCAGATGAGGATGTTCTGAGGACCACTGGTTCTCAGAGTTTGTTCATCAAATCAGCAGCATGTGCATCACCTGGGGACTTACTAGAAATGCATGTTCTGGACTCCACCCCATATTCATCAAATCAGAAATTCTAGTCTGGTGTAACTGGTTCTCCAGGTGATTCTGATGCGTGCTAAAATTTGAGGACCACTTGGCAGGGAAAAAAGTTCTGAGTCAGATACTTGGCAAAACGACTGGGAATTGTTAGGCAAGGCCTTTCTTTCAGCCTCAGTTTCCTCAACTGCAAAATGAGAGCACTGACTTGCATAGTTGTTTACGCCTTCATTAGTAACAGAACCCTGATTTTTAACTAAAGTACCTAAAACAATGAAGACCATATCTCCCAACCTCTTTTGCCACTAGTTAAGGCCTTTGGCTCAGTTGTGGCCAATGGGAGGAAAATGGAATTGATGTGTGAAACTTCTGAAAAGTTTCCTCAAAGAGAAGGGTCTGCCCTTCACCTTTACCTCCATCCTTCTTCTGGAATGCAGGCATGATGGCTGGAACTTCATTAGCCATCTGGGATCCAAAAGGGGAAGTCACATTTTGAGAAAGGCAGAGCAGTGAGCCAGAAGGAACCTGGGTTTCTGATGATTCCTTGAAATCCACTCTTCCAGTTTTATATTAACTCCCAAACGTTTTTTTAAGTTTATTTCTTCAGAGAGAGAGGGGCAGTACCCCCCACAGGGTCATGACACCACGACCCACTCTGAGCCTCAGCCAGCTCTGGAGCATGGGCACGTGCATGTTCAGGGTACTCAGGGAGGCCTCCGGATGCAAAGCCAGAACCTTCCCATGTGGGACAGCCTCAGAGTGTCAAGTTTCATCACTGTATCAATGCCTTGGCCCTCTCTTAAGCTTTTTCTGTGAGAAAAGTTTCTTCTTTTTCTTTCTTTCTTTTTTTTTTTTTTTTTTTTAGCAATTTTTATTCTGGTTTTTCTGTGCTCTTACATTATGATAGGAAAGCCTCTATAATTTCATGAGAAAACACTATGAGAAAATTAAATCAGACTATCTTGTGACGGTCAACGGAAGGCTGACACACTTTGCTTTTGAGAACCTCTGGTTCTCTGGTTGGGTGGTTCTCCTACACACTCAGAGTTGGAGACTGGATGCTTAGGAATCAACTCTTACCATTTTTTCTTTAGTAATATACATACTCAGAACAGGGAAAGAAAGAATGTTCATTTGGATGAACATTTGGATCATTTTTAGTATTTTTTTTAAAGTTTACTTCTTTCATGAGGGATAGGAACAGGAACCCTTGACCAGGTCTCGCCATGCCGAGACCCGCCCCCAACCCCAGCTTTCCAGCCAGCCAGAATCAACCACAGGCCTGGGTGTGTCTAATATGTTCAGGTCGACTCAGGATCTGAACTTGTTGCCTTCCCCTATGGCTCTCATGTCACACAGTTGTACCCTAACACTGGCATCACTGTGGCTAGGCACATTTTCATGTTTTTAAAGCACATACAGATGACTTTCTTTGTACTTTTTTTGCTTAAGGGTTTAGAATCAAAACTCTTTTTATTCTGACCATAAGGAAATCATCAGACAAACTGGACCAGTGCCTATGAGTTTATGGCTATACTGGAGCTAGAATTTTGGTCTCCGACTCCCAGATCTCTGACCTCTGGACTCCATAGCCTTCTCTGCAAGCTCTGAAAGCTGTTCCTTTCCCAGCAGCGCAGATAAAAGCCCTCCAGCCTAGCCACAGGGAGTGAGATGGCAGCTGTTGGCTGCGTGGCCCTGGTTTTGATACAGGAAGTGAAATGTGTGGAATCAGAACACGAAGGGGTAAGCAAGGTCAGAGGCCAGCCCACAATGGTGGCTGGAGTCACAGAAGAGTCCAAGTCAGCCCATGTGATACACGTCACAGTTTGGAAGGTCAACTCTCTGTTCCAGCTCACCTAAATCTTTGCCAGGATCTCAAATGAAGCATGTCTGTGTCCTGACCCTTTCCAAACCATTTATTCAATAACAATGCATTGGAGGAACTGGCTTCACCACTCCCCACCAGAATGGCTTATTAACTATGGTCTCTGTGTTAATGATAATACCTCAAATGGGAAGGCAGGAAGAAAATAGTGTTTAAAATACGGAGGGCTTGCACAGGTTGCAAAACAACAAACAAAAGGAGAAAACACAGCCCAGCAATTAGATGTCAAAAAACAATGGTGCTTTCTAAGTAAACATGCACACTTTCCAATACTGAAACCAGGTGAGAATCAGAGGTGGGGTTTAATAAAACCTGCTTTCAGAACTTGATTTCGTATCTGTCCAGTTTGCCTTATGGTAGCAAGCTTCTAGGTACACTAGGAAAAGAGAATACTCTAAAATCTCAGTCTCTCTCTTCCCCTACCTTCTCAGGACCTGCCTTTGATTTTTTTTTTTTATGTTCATTAAACAAATACATTATACATTACATTAGAATGCTTATTAATATTGCCTGCTGGACATTAATCTCTTGGGGGATTGGACCATATACCTGCCCAGACTTGTCTTCTTACTGCAGCTCACTAACTAAAAGCAACACCAAGGACACGGTGTCCTTCAATTCAATTATAGAAACCCCCTGGGCCACTAACACTAAAAGGATTGATGGCTTTAAGTATTTCTACATGCAATGAGCATGAGCTCATGTAATTTACAGTAGTATCTGGTGGCCTTTTTGGGTATAGTTACCGTATTTGTGTGATGATCCCGGGTATCGCATGGGCAGGAGCTGAGGCCGATGCACGGTACCACTCTAGTGGCAGTGCTCACTGCTGTGGTGCCTTATGGAGTTGCACAGTGCACAGCCTGGGCAGCCTGGGGTGGCAGCTCTGATTGTTAACGTCGTTAGACAGGCCACTAAGGAGCTCGGGTGTGGGCTGTTGGAAAAAGGCTGACAATGTATGCTTCGAGGGCAGTGGCGAGTGACATTAAAGCTGGAGTGGGGCAGAGTTCACCCCATGTGATTACAGGGTGAGATTTATATCACATGCTGAGCTTTAAAAGAGGCTGGTGGAGGAGATATTAAGGCCCTGCTTCCTGGGAGGCTCCAGGTTTGGGGTGTGGTTGACCTCAAACCCCAGAGAGGGGCTGGGCAGTAGCAGGAGGGTGCAGACATTCCACAGACACAGCTTTTCTGCAAGTGTGTCAGCCTCCCCTACCCTGGACAGGCAGGGAGCTCTGTTTCATCTGGTGGCACCTTAATGTTTGGGCAGAGCTTGCTTTCCTGTCAGCCCAGTAGCTTCCTGTTGAGCATATTTCATGAAGAGGGTTCTCCTTTGCCAGCAGTGTTCAAGCCAGCACTCATCTGCAACTGTAGATCCCTTTGGAGATCCTAAATGGAGCTGCTGAAATGTTGTCATGGTTACCATGGGACAGTTTCTGAGGCCTCAATGTTTTCCAGGAAAGCAGTCCTGAGCTAGCTATCCTGGGTTTCTGAGGAGGCAACTGACCCAAGAGAATTGACTTACCCCTGCCTTCTCTGCTGCTGCCAGTACCTAGCCAGAAGCTGGCTGGTGTCTCTAGCGATCAGCCCAAATCTACTATTCACACTAGATTTGGCTTTAAAAGATCAGACTGACCTGGCAGCACCTGATTGTGGCTCCAGAGCCACAGAAGACATGCCTCCTAGAGAGATAGCTTTCTGCATTCCCTCCTGCTTGTGTACCTGCTTCTAGGCAAAGGACACTTGTGAAGTAGCTCTCTGCACTTAATATGGTAGTAAGGCACTGATGGTTTTTAAATACCTCCTATGACCCCAGGAACCCAGCATTTCCCATGTGGTTAAAGGAATCAGATCTCCCATGATCAACCATGATTCAAATCCTAGCCCTAGCTTGAACGTACCACCCTGACGGTTATCACAGGGGCAGAAATGTACATGTGGGCATGTACGTTTGGCATATGTGTGTGAGCGTTCCCCAAATCTTGACAAGATGGAAAAACGGAGGAGAAGGGATTGTGGGGTAACCATGCCTCATTGGGAGATGCTCCCCTCACCCCTCCCTGTCTCCCTCTGGAGAGTGCACGCACATTCTGGCAACTAAAACAAACAAACAAAAATAAACAAACACTGGTTAAGGGCCCCAAAAGATGGTCTACTTAGAAGTATTTGTGGTTTAAGAGACTGAGGCACTGTGACAGAAGTTGGAGCCATTGGGGGAAGGCTAGTCAAATGAAATGGTAGTCACCTTTGTTCATAAAATTATTTGTTAATTTCACTATCTTTTCCTCCAAGTTTTGCCAAAATTCTTTCTGGTTCTACCCTGATTTAATTATTTCTCTCTCTCTCTCTCTTCTTTTTTTTTCTTTTCTGAGCTAAAGAGAGAGGCATCCTTAACAGGGTCTCATACTGTGACCTTCCCACAGCCTTCCTGACATGCTGTAGCCACTCGGAGAGAGTGTGCAAGTCAAACTGGAAGGAACCCTCCAATCTCTCAGATGGATCCAAAATTACAGAGCTCGACACTATGTCTCTGTCACCCAGCTTACCCAAGTATTCAACATCTTTTCGGGCTGTGCTGGGAGCTGTCTTAGGAGCAAGACTTTACCCTCCACCCTGATGACGGTCAGGAATGTACAAAAATGGACAATATGTGGAGCTCTTGAGTAGTAAATAAATAACCAAAATGATGAACATTTGAGATATGAACTCCAAACCAAATGGCCCAAGGAACACATAATTCAGACATGGAAGGGGGTGCTGTCACTCACTAAAGATGTCACTGTTGCTTTGGTTCATTCACGTCTTCAGTGTGCCTTCGCTGATGCCTCTTGTGTGTGAAGTACGCTTATTAAAGCGTTTGCAGTGAGCGCAGGTCTGGGAGACAAGCACCTGTTACAAAACGGTGTGAAAAACAATCACAAGGTGTACAAGTCATGGACGTATTTAAGACAGAATTCAGAACACGGTGTGTCATGTTTCAACAATTTTTTAAAAAGAATTACGTATTTATTTAATTCCATTTATTATTATTTTTATGTTTTAATTTGACCAAAGGGAGACAGAGAGAGAAAGGGAAAGCAAGGAAACAAGTTGCCAGGTCTGGAATTAGAACCCCAGTCAACCTTGTGGGAGTCTGGTGCCTTCAAAGCCATGTCACTTGCCGGCCCCATGTTTGAACAATTCTTAAAACTAAATAGGAGTTAACCAAGTAAAGAGAGGAAAGGGCAGATACAAAGGTATCCAGAGAGTCTGGAGGGAGATGAGGCGCTAAGATGTACTGGCCCTTGGCCTTCAGGTACTAGGTAGCCTAGAAGGCTGACCAGATGGGGCCCATGGGAGATTTTCGTCTAGGAAATGGCCACCTGCTACTGCATGAGGTGGATTAGAACGCTACGGGATGGGGGCTCAGCCACTGTCGCTTACAGCAGACGTATCTGTGCCTGCGAGATTGCATCAGACGCGAGCCCGAGACACGCAGGGAGGTGTGGAGCAGAATGGAAGGTGACGGAGAGTCCCTCGTGAGGTCTACATTCTGGGCAAGGGCATACGCACTTCTAGGCACCGCGCAGCTGCTGGGAAGACCCGCCTCCCCTTCCAGATCCCTCTCGGGCGGGGCTCGAGACAGCACGTGACGCCTGGGACACCACGTTTACTGTGGGCAGTCCTCTCGTTCACTCCCGGTTTCGCGGGTCTCCGCTTCGATCTCCAGCATCTTGGCTCCATGCCGTAGTGTTCAGGTAATCAATTCTCGTCGGCGCGTCCCTCTGTGTTCCTCCTGCGAAGCTGGGTTAGAGAAGATAAACAGCGAAGGAGTCCTTTGCCCACACAAAAGATGGCTACTTGCTGCGCTCACTCTGGGCCGTGGGAGCGAGTTCCAGGCACCCGGACTCTCAAGGCGAGACGCCGACGGAAGGGGCGTCTCTCGAGGAAACTTTTCGACCTTCCTGGGCGGGGCCCTGAGCAAAGGGGCGTGGCCTAGTTTAGGTTCTAAGACACGATTGGCCCTCTGGCCGGTGGGTGGGGTGTCCGCGGTCCCTCACTCCTCCCTTTTCGAACCGGAAGTGTCTCTCGGTCTTTCCAGCTGGTTGTCATTTCACTCGGCTCGGTCCTGAGGAGAAGGACTCAGTCGCGGCTGCGGGACCCGGGCACCGGGAGGCGGTGGTGGCGGCGGCGGCGGCGGCAGCAGCAGCGACAGCAGAGGAGGAAGAGGAGGAAGAAGGAAAGAAGAAGAAGAGACTGGCGGAGTCCGCAACGACAGTGG